CCCTTCACTTGGTAGAGAAGTTTCTGTAGTTTCTGTCAAGCTGTCCGGGTCATATGTTCTGTTGAGTTTACAACCATTGTTGTCATGAGCTGTTTACAGATCTGCACTCAGGAAAAATTCTGGAAAATTGGGTAGAGCAAGAAAGTAGCCGGAGGAAAATTTCTGGAACACACTGCGGGTGAGGGTTGGGTAGAGCATGAGGCACACAAGGTGTTTCACATGCAGCATCTGCATTATCGCTAAAAGCTCATGAGTCTCATTGTCTTTCCAAGTTGGCATCTTCGTGAGCCCGTTTTTCATCCTGAGATATTTGTTTTCTTCCAGTTCCGCAAGTGTTTAAAACGTTATCCACGTCTCCACTCGCTGTACATTTTAATTTAATGTCAGGAGCAACGCACTCGGACATTTGCGTTGTCACAAGTTCAGTGTATGTCTGACAGCAGTTTTCAGACACCAAATGGCAGAGAGAGACACAGTTACTGACGAGTTGGTGGAGACCAAAAACAGAGTTAAAATAGAGAGACTATTGCTCTTATACTCGACCACAAACAGCATTCTAAATTAATGTTGATCTATTACTGCCGGACGTGTAAATAAGTAACTGTAGATTCACCATATCAACTTGACTCTTGACTTGATTGTTCAGGCCACACAGGATCAGTGTCTCCGTCTGCCTGTGTCTCTGCAGCCAAGCAAGACTTAAGACGAATCCACAGCTCGAAGCTCCATGTTACATTCTAATCCATTTTAAGTCAGTAAAACACGTACAAATAAATACTTTGCTCAGACATTTCCTTTCTTCTGTTCTCTGCATTTAGTTAAACAAAGTCTACTTTTTTTCTTCCTCGTCTCTTTTCTCTCCTCGATTTGGGATATTTTTTTTTTTGAGTTCGAGAAACAAGTTGTTAATCTCTCTCAGTTGCCGTGTGCTGTGTAATTTATAGTGTTTCCTCTTAACACTATGAGCTGACCCCAGTCGTCCCAGTCAATAAAGAGGCACCGATGGTGCCCTGTCACTTTACAGCCAGTTAAATTACACTTTGATGTCGCCCCCTCGTTTTCAACTCTGAATTAGGCCGAGAGCCGCCCGCGCTGAATGTCTGACCCACGAGAACATTGTTTTGGTGCCAATATCCACACGGGAACCACCTCACGATATTAAAATGAGGCCCAGTGGAAGCTAATCCTTATTTTGATTCTGATGTCAACGCCAACAGTGACAAACTATGACATACTCCAGATAAATATTTCACTCTTGTGTACGCTGCACGTGAAAATTTAGACTTGTTTACAAACTCGTGTGAGGAAATTTACACGTGACATAAACTGTAAATCACTGCTCAGCTTATTCGGAGACACTTTTGTAAGTTTTGCAGAACTTTCTCTGAGCCCACCGCACAGAGCTGCCGACTCTGCTCTCCTCACCGTGCAGGGGAATTTGAACAGATGCTGACAGTTGGATCCTCTGCAGTTGAAATAGAACATTCTGTGGTTACATCTCAAAACATTTAGCATGGCATGTGAATCCAAAAAAGAAAAAGAGAATTTCAGTTGTGAGTTGCTGGAATTTTGTCGGGGACGGAGACATGCAGGTGTGAGCTGAAATTGTCGCTTGAGTAATTGAAGATCAAATCACCTTGGTCATAAACATTGAGATTGTTTTTGATGCAGCAGATGTTTTTCTCAGTCTCTCTGCACAGAGATGAAATCCCGACAGGCGTTGTTTACATTAAGACTTTCTTATATTCATCGTACATATGGTGTGTTCTCTGCAGGAGGGCCCGACGCTGTTCACCTTGGGCAGTGTCAGGGAGCCTCACAGTTACAGCGGATCGCACGGATAACAAGCAGGAGACTGTCACAATATTCCACTCCCGCCAAGAAAACATTAGTGACATGTGATATAAACAACGGTCTTTGATCAGGGAGAGGCCTCATGATTTTAAACAGTCTGACAGCTCTCGCCTTGTGGGGCCTGTGGGTGCCGCGCTGGGGAAATATGATGAAACAACTGGAGAGGGTTTTGGTGGGGTAAAGACCGTTTGCTCCATTTCAAACTCGACAGCGAGGCAGTTTTGTGGGGGGTGAGACCCCGAGCAAGAGGTCTGCCACCAAAACATGGCTCCTCAGCCCAAATCCACTTCCAGCATTGCTGGGTAAACATCTCAGAAACCAGAGAGCCGCTGATCACTGGATCTCGCAGAGATGAATAGCATCTGGTCTGGTCACCGTTATACAATACAATACTGTGATACAATATAATATCTGCGTTGTGTGCAGTATGGGGTCTCCAACCAGTGGGGGTTAAGCTCTCCTTACAAGGATGAATAAAATAAAAAACAGCTTCATATGAGACAGTGCTCCTGCATATAACTTATTTCAGCAAGGCCTCAACTTACTGAGATACAAGCTACACGTGTCAGTAAAACATCTGTAGTTTTCTTGGTGCCAACCAAAAACCCCCCAAAAAAACATTGAAACATTTTGCAGATTCACTCAGTTGCTTATCTGACCTTAAAACTTTGCCGTTTGTATCTGAACAACATTTATGTACAGTTAAGCTTGTTGTAAAGTAAAATAAGAGTAATTCCCTCAAAAGAAGGTACATAGTGCAGCAATTTTCTAGAATTGGTACCAAAACTTAGATTCAACTGTATCAATACTAAGTTCTTGCAATGACATATTTAAACAATCAGTCGTCAATACTATGACAGATACAAGTCAGCATGATATGTCCCCATAAACAATTATTCACGCTACTTGATGTCAAACTAACTCATGGTTCCATAGAGGAGAGAGAGACACTCTATCTATTCACCTCCCCTTCCACACATTACCCAACATGGCTGTGGGTTTAGGGTCACTGGGTGTATGTGTGTGTCTGTGCTGAGAATTGCACACCGAGCTCAAATGAGCGCACACACCTCTTGGTTCTAACCTGACAAATTGCAGGATGGGCAGATGAGCGGAGGCGTCCGTGTGCCTGAAAATAACTTCACCTCAGATGGTACTGAGGAGCAGGAAGGTGCGGCGCTGTCGTCATTAGATGGAAAAAGTACACTCACAGGCCTTACTAGGCAGGTTGGAAGCATGTCCTGTACACATGATGGGAATGTGTATTAATCCAAAGGTGTGTGTGAAATACGGGTGAGAGCATTGAAGGGCAGCAGTGAGGAGAAAAGAGCTGCCAACTTAGACAAGAACACTGGCAGAGATACGGCTATGGAAATTTATGATCAGAGAGCTGCCTGAGGTTTTACTGTTAAGCCGCAGCCATGAAACAAGCGTGTGTGTGTGTGTGTGTGTGTGT